GAGTTAGCTTCCTTCTTAAGAATCTTCCTAAACTATATTGGGTTTGACTGTTGCTTACCTTATAAATCATATGCCTCTTCTTACTTTAAACATTAAAACTCCATTAAAGGTTCTTCAAGGAAAAAACTCTTATATTGTACCTCCTAAAGTTTTTGGCTGTGTTTCGTTTTGTTCATCAAAACAATCTAGGCAAATTAGATCCTTGAGCTTCGAAGTGTGTGTATGTTGGCTACTCTAATACTCAAAAGGGGTACAAATGTTATCGTCCTCCTTCGAGAAAATACTTTGTGAGCATGGATGTTACCTTTAGAGAATTTGAATCTTATTTTCCTTCCTAGCTACCTCTTCAGGGGAAGAAATGTCAGATGGAAAAGGTGATGGATAATTCTATGGAGATTCCTTTCTAGTGGGAGATTCCTATAGGCATAGAAAATAATAGAGACTAACCAACAGAAACTCTAGTAAGATTGGATAGACCTGATTTGACAACCTACACACGGCGAGGTGATACAGATATAACCATGGAGCATGAAATCTCTGCTCAATCGTCCTCTCCAAATTCAGGTCCTGAAAATACAGAAGAACAAGAACCTGATGAGTCTTCTTTTATCCCTGTTGATTCTTATAACACCCGCCGCCCGATCCCGAAAGACCCGACTGTGGATGCCACATTCGGTGCCGAAGGCATTGTCCTAACCTACATATAAACCATACAATCATATTATGAATTAGAAGTGACTTAGTATTATCCTGTTGATTCTATAACACCCGCGCGCCCGAGTCCCGAAAGACCCGAATGTGGTGCCCATTCGGTGGCCGAAGGGCAATGTCCTAACCTACAATATAAACCATACAATCATATTATGAATTAGAAGTGACTTTAGTATCAATAAGTTAATTACGGGGCAGTATAGAATATTTTTTTTATTTTGAAAATGATTTGGGAGAGTCCTACAGAAAAACTGCAAGAGTTTCCCCTAAAAATAGAAGTTGCCAAACATATGAATACAAAGCACTCCCAATTTGAAACTCGAAAACCCATCAAACTCCAATAATAACACAATAGCACTTCTATCATTTCATATCCTCAATAACATTTTCATATTCAACAATTAAATAGATGCATTTAAACATATCAACTTCTAATATTCTAACCATTAAATAGGTTCCAAGTTTATCTCCCAATATATACACCAAAATAATTTACAACAATATGCTTAAGTTATAAATTAACTAATACAGTCTCCAAAAATGTAATACTTTACACCAATAATTATTTACGTTACAATAAAATTACTAATAACACTACCAAAAATATTCTTCGCTCTGATGCTACTCAGCTCTGATGCTACTCTTTAGGTCTTTAAGCAGCAAGCACAATCCCCAACCTGCGCGTGATAAAATCAACGCGCTGAGTATAAAACCCAGTGGTGCTTATAAACACAACAAATCAATGTTGTGATGACAACATACTTAAAAAAAAAATCATTTATATACATAAAATCCTTAAATTTAAACATGTATTACATATGTACACCAACACATCATGCTTTAGAAACTCATTGAATATCATAAATAAGTTATAGTAAACTAAGAGTTATTAACATAATGTGATCTCATTTATTTCACTTCCTTAAAAATATTTAACAAGGGCTCACATACACTTAGGAGAAAAAGAAGCAGATAAGTTGTCATAACTTATTCATAATGGCCTTAGGTCGCCAACCTTATCATAACATATAGAGCGATAGAGCGTGTCGCCCTAAATAAGACACCGCCACTATTGCCCTAGCATATGATCATACGCTTTCTTATCTATAATGGCATCAAATGCCGAGGCATGCTCATCATACATAATAAAATCAATCAATGCATCAAATCCCACACCAAGCTATACTTAGAGCCCAAAAACATTTCTTTCTCATAAAATTCATTTTCCTTTAGTCTTCTCATAATAAAAACTTAATTTAAACTTAAGTAATTCAAAAATTCTCATCACCTTTAAAACAAAATGACTTAACGAGAATTTTTTCAGCATAAAATTTTCAGCATAAAAGTAACATTGACCCTTGCTGTGTTTTTAAAACATAACTTAAGTTATGGGTCTCCAAATTGAATGAAATCAGAGTCATTAGAAAGCTAAGACAAAATTCTACAAATCTTATGAAGGGATCATAGCCTAGATCAATATGGAAGAAAACAAAACAAAGCTAGGAACACAAACTAACAGACCAGACCTGATTCAGCGGAACCAAGTCCAATGTTTATTGAATTCCTACTTAACCAAACACTCAAATGAAACCAATTTAGAACGAGGAAAGTCGCAAGACACAGGGAAACAACTTTTATGAAGAACTCAGAACCTAATCTTATCATTATAGTGGTCAAAATGGATGGGCACTCAATTCAGTGATGCATGTGGCCCGACATAAACAGAGTCAGTTTGGGTGTTTCAGCCATAAGTTGAGTTATATATCTCCAAATTGGACGCAAGAGGATTGGTTGGAAAGCTAAGAGGTAGAAATACAACTTTTATGAAGGACTCAGATGCAAATGGAAATTAGAAAGGATCAAAAAAGGGTCCTAAATCTCACTCAAAAACACGTTTTTCCCAAATTCAGCTTACTTTAACCATGATAGGAACATGAACAACAAAGATACAAGGTAGAAATGTCTACCACAACATAAATACTCATCAAACATCATCCAAGAGCATGTTATTGCAACCAAAATTCCAACATTAACATTATCATTTCATGACAAATTCCCAAAATTCCACATAATCAGCATAAAGGCAAACAAAATCAAAAAATTTGAGTAAGGTAAGTGGTGTTTTATGATACTAACCTTCAAAACAAGCTTTAATCAAAGCTTTCTCAAGCTTGGTCTTGCCTTATCTTTGTGAAAGGCTCCTCCACACTCTACATGTAAGAAACTCAAAATCAAACAAGAAACAAATAAAAGAAGTAATTGGAGCATGATTAGCTGTATATGCTAAAAGACAACTCTCAAACCAAAATAATGAGATTATCATAAAATCAATTACTTGACCCAAGTAGGAAAAATCACCAAATCCTTGAAATTAAGTCACCAAAAATGACTTCCTCTTAGCTTCACTCTCTACCAAGATTTAGTACTTAAAATCAAGTTGGATGGGTGAATCTAAGATTTAGTACTTAAATCAAGTTGGATGGGTGAATTTGATGTGTTTACTTAGTAAGAATTGAAGAAAATGAAGAAGAAGAAGAAGAAGAACGAGGAGGAGGAGAAGGAGACGTGTAGGAAAAGGAGAAGAAGGACAAAGTGTTGCTCAATAATTGATAGTTGCTTTTAATAAAGCAACTAGGGGTATTTTGGTCTTTTCTCCAAATTGGAGGGTGTTTTGGTGTTTTCTCCAAATATTCTCCAATTAAATTCCTTCAAAATATTATTTATCTCCACAAAACTCTCTAATGTTCCTCCATAAAAAATAATTGCTCAAATTTCCTTACTTAATATAATACCATAATTCACTATTCGCTAATTATCTAAATTCTCCAAAAATATTCATTACTTACTTTCTACCCATAAAAACCATGCATATATGCTCCAAAAATGTTTAAATAAAATAATTAAAACAATCAAATATAATTTTTCCGGACCAATTTTCCGGACCAAAAATAATACCGACTTCCGGACCGGTGGTACTATTCACAGACCGGTAAACTACTATTGAAACACAGGAAAAATGGGGCGTTACAATTCTGTTCTTAATCCTGATTCTAATCCCGTTGATATTGATCTTGTATTCCTATTACTCTTAGAAAATGAGTTAAAACACGCACTAAACACCCAATATCCCATTTTATCTCCTATAATGTTCTATTCTCCTCCTATAGAGCCTTTATTTTGTCTGTTTTTTCTGTTTCTATACTGCAAGATCGGCAAGAGGCATTACAGGACTCAAAATGAAAGGCTGCAATGACTGAGGAAATGGGAGCTTTGGCAAAAAAATAAGACATGGGATCTTGTAATTCCTCCACCAGGAAAGAAGCCGATTGGATGTAAATGGGTATTCACAGTTAAACATAGGGCAGATGGTGAGGGGTACAAGCCTAGATTGGTAGCCAAAGGGTTTAGTCAGACCAATGGGGTTGATTACCAGGAGGCGTTTGTTCCTGTAGCCAAGATGAACACTATCAGAATTTCATTGTCTTATGCAGCCAATCTTGACTAGGAGTTACGTCAATTTGATGTTAAAAACGTCTTTCTACATGGTGATTTGAAAGAAGAGATGTATCTGGAGATTGCTCCTAGATTTGTTGATGACAAGACTAAAGGGAAAGTTTACAAGCTGAAGAAGTTATTGTATGGGCTAAAGCAGTACCAAGAGCATGGTTTGAAAGATTCAGTACAGTCGTGTTCTCTTTTAGGTACATTCAAAGCGATGTTGTTCATACCTTGTTCATTAAACATCATGCAGGTAAGATCGCATTACTTATTGTTTATGTTGATGATATAGTGGTGACAAGGAATAATGAAGAAGAAATGACTCACTTGAGAAATTGGTTAGCTAGATTTGCTCCTAGATTTGCTGATGACAAGACTAGAGGGAAAGTTAGTTTACAAGCTGAAGAAGTCATTATATGGGCTAAAAGTAGTCACCAAGAGCATGGTTTGAAAGATTTAGTGAAGCCGTGTTCTCTTTTGAGTACATTCAAAGCGATGTTGATCATACTTTGTTCATTAAACATCATGCAGGTAAGATCACATTACTTATTGTTTATGTTGATGATATAGTGGTGATAGGGAATAATGAAGAAGAAATGACTCACTTGTGATAGGGAATAAATGAAGAAGAAATGACTCACTTGAAGAAATTGGTTAGCTAGGGAGTTCGAAGATTAAGGGTTTTTGGGGAAAGTTTAGATATTTCCTTGGAATTGAAGTTGCTAGATCTGAAAAAGGAATTTTTTATCTCTCAAAGAAAGTACATTCTTGATCTCCTTAAGGAAACCAATATGTTAGGATGTAAGCCTGCAGAATCACTCATTGAAGCTAATCACAAGCTTCAAGCTGGAGTAGGAAGTCTGGTTGATATAGGCAAGCATCAGAGATTGGTTGAGAGACTGATTTATCTTTCCCATACTACACCAGATATTACCTATGCTATTAGTCTAGTGAGTCAGTACATGCATGACCCTCGGGAATCTCACTTAGAAGCTGTGCATCGAATTTTGAGATATTTAAAATCAGCCCCAGGTAGAAGATTGTTATTTTCTACAAATTGCCATTTGAAAATAAAAGGCTACACAAATGCAGATTGGGCTAGTTCTCTTGATGATAGAAGATCAACCGCAGGTTATTGTGTTTTTCTCGGTGGAAACTTGGTCACATGGAGAAGCAAGAAACAAACTGTTGTTGTTAGTCCAGTGCAGAAGCTGAGTATAAAGCTATGGCACAAGGAATCTGTGAACTTCTACAGTTGCATAGAGTGATGGGAGAATTAAAGTTGTTCGAAACAACTGATACATCCTTGTTTTCTTATAGTAAAACAACCATCAGTATAGTGAATAATCCAGTCTAGCATGATCGAACTAAATAGAAAGAAATTAATCATCACTTTATAAAAGAGAAGATAGTTGAAGGTTCCATAAATGCTTCCTATATGACTTCAAAAGAATAACTAGCTGATGTTTTCATAAAGGGCTTGAGTAGCAAGTTGTTTCATCCTTTGGTTTGCAAGTTGGGCATGTGTTATATCTTTGTGCCAACTTGAGGGGGAGTGTTGAAATCCTTATAATCAATATTGATTTACTTTCCTAGTTAACTAGACTTTCCTAGTTAATTATTTTCATAATCAATATTGATTTACTTTCCTAGTTAACTAGACTTTCCTAGTTAATTATTTTCCTATTCTAGAGAGATTCTTGTATATAAATTACCTAGTGTAGGGATTGCAATTAACACAATAGAAAGAAATACAACATATTCTTTTCTTTAATTTCTTTAAGAACTTTACCAAAAATCTTGATATTGGAAAAATGACTTGATATTCTTGTAGTCTTTCTTAGAGGAGCAAAATATTAGAAAATCTCTTGAAAATACAATGTTTAATGAGGCGTTTGGAGGGCTAGAAGGTGGTAGTCATTGATGGAGCTTAGTGGAGAATCAAGTGAAGGAAGAATAGGAAGAGAAGAAGAAGAAAGGTGATGTGGCATGGATTTTTAAGTAAAATGGAAATGTGGTGTGTTGGTTTTTACAACAAATGATCATGTGATTTATTTTTATTCACATGCTTGAAGCATGTGAATTCATGGGGGGTGATGTTATGTAGTATGGCACTATAAACACTTATTTCTAATTGGTTATTGAGATTACCTAGGATAAAAGAGTGATGTGGTTTGATTACATTAGGATAAGAAGATGATGTGACATTATTGGGTTTTAAATAAAAATATGGTGTGGCTTTTGGCTTCTAGTGTGTAGTAATGTTGTTTGTCTTATCCTTAATTTGTCTTTATTATAAAATGATTGTAATTTATTTTCTCTTTTGAATTTAAAGGCTAGAATCACACGCAAACGCACATACATGCATGGTATAATAATTAACTAACATATTAATATTATACTGTGTTTTTAAACACAATCTCATGATACTATAAATTACCAAAATGCCCCTACGACGCTGTAATTTATCAGAGTCACTATAATCCAGAATCATAATTAATTCATAATAAAGCATAATTGGACTCTAAAAGTAATTTAATGCATGCTAATGATATGTTATGAAAATGTGGATGTGATAACTCTTCCCGCTTAGCCAATTTCATCCCCAAAATTACCTGAGAAAAGCTGTGGATACTACTGTCTCATACTTTCTTCTCTCTCCCAAGCAACTTCCTCTAGCTTATGATTCCTCCATAAAACCTTAAGTAAAGATATTCTCTTGTTCCTCAACTCCTTAACCTCTCTAGCTAAGATTTGAACCAACTATGCCTCATAAGATATATCTATCTGAATCTCAACTGCCTCGGAAGAAATCACATAAGAAGGATCTGACCAATATCTAATCAACATCGAAATATGGAATATGTAATAGGATCTTGTCCAGCTCAGGAGGCAAAGCTAGTCTATAAGCAAACGGATCCACACGCTCTAGAATCTCGTATGGACTAATGAACTGAGGACTTAACTTCCCTTTCTTAGAAAATCTAAGGATCTTCTTCTAAGGTGAAACCTTAAGAAAGACCTTATCACCCAGTGTGTATTCCATGTCTCGTCTCTTAAGATAAGCATAAGACTTTTGCTGGTCTGAAGCCTCCTTTAGTCTACTCTGAATCAACTGAACTTTTTCATTTGTATCTCTGATCAAATTGACCCAAGTCTACTCTGAATCAACTGAACTTTTTCATTTGTATCTCTGATCAAATTGACCCAATGATCTTCCTCTTACTCAACTCTATCTAATAGAGAGGTGTCCTACGTCTCCTACCATACAATGCCTCAAATGTGGCCATTTGAATACTAGACTAGTAACTGTTATTATAGGCAAACCGAATCAAGAACAAGTATTTTTTCCCCACTGCCTTCAAACTCTATAACACAGTTACGAAGCATATCCTCTAAAGTCTAAATGACCCTCTCAAACTAACGTCAGTCTAAGGATGATAAGCAATACTAAAGTGCAACCATCTACACAAAGTCTCATGCAACTTAGCCTAGAATTTAGAATTGAACCTCGGGTCTCGGTTTGAAATGATAGATGAAGGAACACTTTATTTTTTCTTGGTAATAAAAAAAACCTCGGTTGATTACGAATGACTTACCAAAACTATCGATATATATAAAAGGAAAGTAGTTTACCTTACGTAAGTGTGAATAGCACAATTTGCCACTTGGCAGTATTTTGGATTATAAAATGACAAATATTAGAATTTTAAATTCAGATTTTAAAAAAAAAAGACAAAAAAAAAACAAATTAAGAAAAAAACTTTATTTTTTGTTGGTAATAAAAGAAAAAAATTGGTTGATTATGAATGACTTATCAAGACTACTGAAATATGTTTTTAGTTGTAATGGTAATAAAAGAAAAAAATTGGTTGATTATGAATGACTTATCAAGACTACTGAAATATGTTTTTAGTTGTAACGATAATAATTTTTTTTCATTCATTAATAAAAAAAGACACAAAAATAAATTTTTAAAAAACAATTAATTTTTCTTGATACTAAAAAAAATCTTAGTTGATTAGCTTGGCGTATGGAGTAGTTTCATATATCAGGAGTTAGGTTGTACGGACATGGTATACGAGATACGAGAATGTACATGATACGATAATTTTATAAAAAGTAGAACATCCACACATTTAGGAGAAATTACACTAAATAAGTATAAAACATTAATATTTTAAATAAATATCATTTATAATAAATCATAAACATAAAGTAAAAAAAATATTTAATTTCTTATTTCAATATAATTAGTTAAATTTTCAAAATTATTATCACTACTGAAAAATACATCAATAGTGTGTGACTTACCAAGATGACAAAAATATATTTTTAGTTGTAATGAAAGTATTTTTGATCATTCATTAATAAAAAAAAGACGTAAAAATAAATTTAAAAAAATATTTCATTTTTTTAATAAAAAATCTTGATCTATAAGCTTGGTGGATGAAGTAGTCTTATATATCAGGAGCTAGATTTCACGGATATGAGATACGAGATACAGGAACATACAAGATAGGATAATATTTTAAAAAATAGGACATCCACACACTTAGAACACACTATACTAAATAAATATAATACATTAATATTTTAAATAAATATACAATCATTTATAATAAATCATAAACATAAAAACATGCAATTTAATTAATAAATCATAAACATAAAATAAAAAAAAATATTTAATTTTTTATTTCATATAATATAAGTTAAATTCTTCAAATTATTATTCACTATTGTCATACGTGGTGGGGTCCGACTCTAATCACAGAGGAATTGTCCCTCTTATGTTGTGGTACCATGACGCCCTACACTATATCAGAGCGGAACCCCCTCCAGTAGATAATTGGTTCGATGACGAACGCAATGCGGAAGCTGGTGGGAACCTGTGGACATCCGCGACCGCAAAAGCGATCCTAAGATGACTAGGCTAGTTTGGGTAGGGGAATTGTGGGACACAGGAATGAATCGAATCATATACGATCGGAAAAGGGGGAAACTAATATTAGGGCGCCTTTTGGTGGAACTGGCTGGAGAGTTTGGAGATAGAACTCCAGGATTAAGCGTGCTCGCTTAATGAGAAATCCTCAGGATGGGTGACCTCCTGAGAAGTTTCGCCAATTTCACCTGCGGAAAACCGTGAGGTGTAGGGCATGGCGGGGACTACACTGAGGGTGTAGGCGTCGTCGCGTGGACTACACCAAAGGGGACATTCCTCTTGAGGTGTAGGGCATGCGGGGACTACACTGAGGTGTAGGGCGTCCGTGGACTACACCAAAGCGGACAATTCCTCTGGTGATTAGAGTCGGGGCGTGACAACTATTGATAAATACATTAATAGCCTGTGACTTACTAATACTACCGAAGTATGTTTTTAGTTGTAACGTGAGTATTTCTGATCATTTGTTAATAAAAAAAGCCATAAAAAATTAAAAAAAAATACTTTTTAATAAATAAAAAAATATTAGTTGATTAGCTTGGTGTATATCAGTAGTCTCATATACCATAAGCTAGGTTTTGCGGACATAAAACACGAGATAGGAGAACATACAGAATATGACAATTTTTAAAAAAGCAAGATATTTACAGACTTAGGACACACTATACTAAATACGTATAATACATTAATAAATAAACAATTATTTTACAATAAATCATAAACATAAAATAAAAAAATATTTAATTTTTTATTTCAATATAATTAATTAAATTCTCAAAATTATTAAAAATTTATATATCTATATAAAAGCTAAAACAAAGAGAAAATTCAATGCTCTTTCTCCATCAAAGTTTCTATTTTTCTTTTTTTATGAATTTTTAAAATTTTAATTTATTTTTCTACAACTTGATTGATTATTAAATATATTTTCAAAATCAAAATTTATTTATAATTATTTTAGTACAATATGTTTAGATGATTATGAGTTTGAAAATTTTAAATTATTTAACTAGAAAACTAGATAATTACATTTAAAATGAATTGCAATTTTATTTTTATTTGTATCTTTACATATATGTCTACTACTATATATATATTTATATGTTTCTATTTTTTGTACTTTAGCGGCATCTCATTGTGTTTTTTTTCATCGTCTCTTTCTCTCCTATGCTTTAAGAGCATCTCTTTAATTTCTTATTTGAATAGCAGTTTTTTTTTTTTTCAATTTAGCAAGTTTTTTTTATTCTTTCTTTTCAATTTAGTATATATAATTTGAATTTCTTTTTATTTTCTTTGGATACTTTATCACCTGCAAAACAACCG